ATTTTACTTTACGGTGGCCGGAATCGAAAAATAGAAATTTCAAATCATTGATGTTATACCGGCAGTAACTTTTTATCCTGGTGCTTAGATATCAAATTACACCTCCTAGGATTAGATCTTGTGAAAACCTTGGATTGTGTAGATATCAAGGAGCCAACACAGGACAGATGAGGCAAATGCTATGATTTTTATCGCCATCATGTTTCCTAGGATTTGAAAGACGAGTATATACAATTAAAAAGACCATCAGAAATATGTGGCAAAAAACGCAAGGAGAGTTTGATCACGCAAAGACTGCGATCCTCTTACAGGCCCAAAAGAAAAAAGAATGCTAGATGCATTTATCGATAAAATGGCAACTTGAAAGTATTACATATGTTGCAAATGAGTGCAAGATAAAATGTCTAAGAAGGACACATTGCAGATTAAATTTTGCCATGAAAACCAATGTCCTTTAAGGACAAATTTCACATTATGATTGCATCGTGAATCCCTAAATGGGTGAAAAATGATTATGGTACACAACTAACCAATTATAATTTATGCATATAAGAGGGGGAAATATATATGTTGGTTCGAATGATTAACACACTTATAAGTGGTGTGAATACCGTTCAATAAAGTCTACTAGCGCTACTAGCGTTCAATAAGTGGTTTGTGCATATAATCAGAGGTCACGTGAGTTAAACTCTAAAAATGATCCATTTACATATTATATTCAAAATATGGTATATTCACCTCAGTGAATACCTTGTTAATGATCAAATAATTTTTGACTTACCATTATCATGATCTAAATGGTATAGATGTGAATGATCTAAATCTTGTGGAGACTCACGAAGAGCTCACAAAGACGGTCAATTATTTGGTGACATAATTTGAGATGAAAAATCTTGGAAGGGCAAAATTTATCTGGAAAAGAAGATCTATTAAATGGAATCTTTATCCATTAATACACATAAGAGATGGATAAGACTCATTCTATTGAGTGGTATTATGTTTGTCAAATCATTGGATATAGTTAAAGATTTTTTAAGCCCTCGAGAAGATAAAGAATGAATTGCAAGTTCCAAAAGTGTAAAATGTGTACTACACTATCTTTATGGAAAATTTCGTGGATCTTAAAGCGGATATAGTTGGCTGTATCAAAGTCAAACAATAAATTACCATATTCATTTATCGGAATATTGCCAACTATTAATTGAGAAGATGATTAAAAGTCATATGTCGAAATCAGGGGAAGCATGAGCACTACTTATAACAATACTGTAATTCGACCAAGTTTTTTTCCCAATGGGTTTTTCTTGGCAAGGTTTTAACGAGGCAGTGTCACGCTCGCAAGTTTCACGTGGATATGTACTCTTTTCTCCTTTGATTAGGTTTTGTCCCAATGGGTTTTCCTAACAAGATTTTTAACGAGGCATATTTCATAGATGGTGGACATCCAAGGGGGGAGTGTTATGATTTCTTAAAGGTGTGGATGACCACCATTACTCACCATTATTCACCATCATCAAGCACCATCACTCCCACCATTATCACACCATAATACCTATTGATGATTCCATTATGGTCTTGTAACTCATGACCTTTGAGAGGTCTTTCTAGTTCTATATATATAGAACACCATGTAATGTATTTGTACACTTGAAGATATGAAATAATACATTACATTTTCTCCCTACTTATTCTTGTATATTATTTCCTAGTTTCTTAACAAATTTATTATTTATTTCATTTATTGTTATTATCAAATATTTATCATAAAATATATAAATATAAATATTCAGAAAGACATTTATTTTTTGGAGAAAAGAAAATTTTCATTTCAGATAATTGATTCAACTATTACAATGTTTTGAATATCCAGTGGCAAAGAATTGAAAAGAGTCGGATCTTTAAAAGACAGTTGAGCTAAAGCATGAGTTACACCTTTCCCATCCCGGCGTATATGAAGAGCAGAAAAAAAACTCAAAACATGGTGCAAATTATAATTAAATAAAAACAATGGAATTAAAACCAACTAAATATGATGAATTATGAAAATTATGACGGTTTAATTACGATGGTTCTTAATATTTAGATTTTAAGTTATATATATAATTTAAATTACTCATGTAAATATTTAATATCATAAAATATTACTCTATATGGAAAATAATATGAGGATGATATTAGTAAATTTCAAAAAAAAATATATATATGAAATAAATAATTAATATTATACAAATTAATCTTCATAAAAGCAAATTATATAATTTTGAGTATTATTATTTAAACCGAGACAGTAAACCAAATAAATAGAATGGAATTACATTTTTTCATGTAACTTTTTTTTAATAATATGGAATAACCAAAAAAAATCTTTTTTGCCAATAATTAAGATTAAAATTCAATTATATCAATATTAGCTTATAATTAATTAAAAACTAATTAAATTAAATCTGGGCTGATTCTGATATTTGGGCTTAATCACTATGGAGCCCATATTAAAGTAGAGTGTATTTAAAGTGAATGAGAGAGGGCCTAACTTTATAAAACAGATGTGAATTAACAACTGCTGATGTTTTTCCTGGATCCTTTTTTTCTGCCATTATTTTACCAATTTCTTTTAGAAGATTTTGATTGGCTGACAATATAATAATTTATTTTAAAATAGTTATCAGTAGCCAATTGGATTCGAACACGTGTCATTTAATTATACGGTAATTTGCTCCGTAAATTAGATCAATCCTAACACTTCATATGCTCCAAATTAACTATCGTTTTAGTGAATTTTTATTTTATTTTATATCATCTCTCACTTTAGAATTTCGATGATGTATTAATTATTGTTTCTTAAAATTTGCATGTATTGCTATTAATGAAAATAAAATTAATGGCACGAGTATTTTGATCATACTATACATTTTCCCTTGAAATCCAGGCATGTTCATTAATTTTCTTAATACATACGCAACGATAAAAAACGATACTTAGTTTTAAACTAATGAACCAAATTTTCTACAATCGAAGTTGAAGATAAGGTAGAAAGTTATAAAGTGAAGTGACGTACGTCTATTATTAAACTAATGAACCGAATTTTTCATATCATTAATCATCTCTTGTTTGGTTGGTTGTGAATTTTTTTTACCGAATTGCCCCACCAATCGATTGTCCTAATGAACTATAGTAATTGGCTACCAAAAAAATTACACCGTATCCGTACTGAAATATTTTGGTAGGATGCTAGTACCAATATTACTACTACTAAGGTATTTTTATATCAGACCGAAATATTATAAATGAATAAAAAATTATATTTCTACAATTAATTTATTTTATATGAAGAGAGAAAATTATGTAAAGTAACTAATGGGCCAATATATATATATATATATATATATATATATATATATATATATATATATATATATATATATATATATATATATATATATATATATATATATATATATATATATATATATTAGTCAAAATAAATTGTAATTTTTAAGTGTCTAAAATATTTTGTACTTACTCATTAGTGATGATATAGTTGATGTCAATAGTTTTTATGTTACAATTCTATAATATAAATTTGTTATATTTATATAAATTAATGACATATATTAAGATTCTATGTACTTTAAATACTAGTTTCGAGCGTCTCAAACATATCTATGCGTTGAATTATTTAAAATTCGATATCAACAAAATAAATAACTCATTCATCATGAAGGCACGAGTACGACCCCGAAAAAGGTTCAAAGTTCAATTAATTATAACTAATCTTAATTAATTATAACTAAACTTATCAACCAAACGAGAGACGTAAATAATATAAAATTCCGTATAGAGTCCAGATGACATTATTATTTAAATAAAAGTGGAAATAAAAGTTATGTTGCAACATCATTTTCCCAAAAAAGGAAAAATAATAAAGGAACCTAGAACATTAAATTGTTTTCCCCTTTTTCTCCGCATACGGTTGGTTTGAATACCTTTTTTTTTTAAGTCGGGAAATTAGAAATCAACGACACATGATTCATGGAACTACAGATACCGATTGACAGTGACGCGACGCCCGCCCGCCCTTTTTCAACCAAAACCCGACCCGACCCGACCCGCCCAACTTTCAGATCCACCAACAGTCTACACTTCCTCTTTCTCTCTCATCCCGCGCGCACACACACAGAGAGAGAAGAGAGAGAAAGAGTTGCATATATAAACTACAACAACAACCATCTCCACTGTGTATTTGAAGCATTTCTTCACCGTTTCCTCTCAGTCGCAGCTCTACTCTGCATTTTCTTCTCCAGTAATCCGGTAAATTTTTAAAATATTGTTATAATATTTACTTAATGAAATGCTTAATTCCTATTTTGCAGCTTGTTAATGGTGCTTTACAAATTAATCTTTTGTTCGTAATTAATTTATCAGATTCCGGTTCACACAATGCCTAGTTTTACTTTGTTTGGCCGTTACACAGTTCGATTTTTCATGGCTTCTCGTGAGCTCTAGCTTTGATATTCGTGTTTTTTGTTGTGCAGTAAATGTGTAGATGAATCAGAATCTGTATCTATTTCTGTGTGTGTGTGTGTGTGTGTTTTTTTTTTTTTAGCGGCTGCAATTAATTTTTTCATGAGGATTTTCGTGATGCTATTGTATGGGCCTTCATTTTGCTCCCATACATTGTAGCTGGTGTAGATCAGTGGCTAGGTTTTTTCTAGGGTGAAATTGTGTACATGTTATACCACCACCGCTGAAAAATCGATTGTGATGTTGAACAGATTTTCTGGCGATTTTTAAATCGATTTGAGCTGGAAGCTACGGGAAAACACGCAATGGATCAGAAATCGTGGCTTTGGAAGATAAGATCTACCGAGAAGACCTTAGTTGCTGATAAAGCAAGCAATTCTTTGAGCAAACACGACGAAGATGAAAATGAAGACGCAGACGAAGAAGACGAAAAATTAAATAAGGTCTGGTTATTAATTGCTTGTTGTATGTCTTGTGATATGAATTTTCTTAGTGTTGTGTGACATTGTTTTTTTTTTTTTCTTTTTTTTTTTTTTAATTTCAGGTTCAGAAGCTTCTGATTGAGAAAACAGATTTAGAAAGAAATCTTAGAATATCGAATGAAAAGCTTTCTTCGGCCCTTTCCGAGTGTAATGCAAAGGATAATATTGCGAAAAAACAGGTGAAAATTGCAGAGGAAGCTATTGCAGGTGATCTACTGTTCGACGTTGTTGCATTGACTTATTTTTTATTTATTGCATTGAGTAAATCTCGATTTGTATATGTGCGTATAGGTTGGGAGAAGGCGCAGATTGAAGCAATATCTTTGAAACAAGAACTCGATAAGGTTTTACAAAAGAAAGCTACTTCCGACGAAAGAATAGGCCACTTGGATGCAGCGTTGAAGGAATGTATGCTGCAATTGCGTTTCGTATAGAAAGAGCAGGATAAGCGAGTTCATAGTGCAATGGTGAAAAGATCGGATGAGTTTGAGAAAATAACAATTGCGTTAAATGAAAAGTTAGCAGACTCGGGTAAGAGGCTCGCAAAATTAGGTGCTGAGAATACTCAGCTAAGTAAATCTCTATCAGGAAAGGAGAAGGTGATTGAGGATTTAAGCAAGTACAAAACTCAAATCGAGGCTGATTTTAGTGCTCTTATGTCGAGAGTAGAATCCACCGAAAAGGAAAACACATCTCTGAAATACGAGCTTCGTGTTCTCGAGAAGGAGCTTCACATTCGGAATGAAGAAAGAGAATATACTCGCCGAATGGCCGATGCTGCCCAAAGGGCGAAATTGGAAACGAGTGTCGAACCGTGTAAATACTTACATTTCTTGCAAGAACACTCTTTGGTATCTGCTTCGTCTGATGTGGGCAGCGAAGATAAAGCCAGCTGCTCCGAGTCTTTGGCTTCTCACAGAAACATGGGAGCTTCAGATGAGTCTTATGTATGACTTTGCTGAGATGGAAAAGTTAGCAGTAGTTTCTCTTTCTGCAGATAATAATATCCCAATTCCGGAGAAGAGTGGACACAAATTCTCGTTGAATTTCAGCTCAGCGATACGTAAAGTTATTGAGCTCGTCGAAGGAATAAATATACCATCTCAAGATAGTGATATTGATAAGCTTTTATCGACTAAGAATCCGGAGAAAAACCCAACGGGCTATGTGGTTCGAGTTTTCCAATGGAAAAGTGACAACTTTCTGCCACCTTGCAAAGATTTGTTCGAACTTGCAATGATTTGTTGAATGGAAAGGGTGATTTTGAACATTTTGTTGTCGAAGTAGCTTCCAATTTGGAATGGGTTGTGAATCACTGCTTCTCCATGCAGGATGTTTCGTGCATGAAAGATGCAATAAGGAACCGTTTGGATTGGGATGAATCGGGAAGTGAGAGTGAGGTAGACAGTGGATCAGCTAATAACTCTGTAGAGAATAATACAAGCCAACGAGATATAATTGAGGATCTTAACTCAGAAATGGAAACTGTGAAGCAATTCGAGGGCAAAAATGGAAACTGTGTCGAAAAGGAAAAGACGACGAAAGGAGAGCCTGAGAATCAGTTTATGGACTCCAATCATGAACAGGGAAAATCTTATGATAATGTTTTGTATTTAGAACATGATCCGGAAAATAAAGATAACTCTTGCGAAAGACTGGAAGAAACATGCTATGACTTAAATAAGCAGCTAAAAAGGTACAAATTCGATTTTTTTTTTAATTGCATTTCGAGAAACGCATATTTTGGGCTTTCAATTTTCTAACCTTGTGATATCTGTATGACCAGCGAGGAAGTTCTAGATAACGGAAGCCAGTGGGAAAAGCAACTCCAAAATGTAAGCTTGCATCATTCAAGTTTCATTCAGAACGGTGTAATTTCCGACATCAGGCAAAATCGGAAATATTCATCTTAGTAATATATATACATGTATAACTAAATTGTGCACCAACAACACATCTTAAGAAATCGATATTTCTTATATAGGATTGGGAGATAACAGTAGCTTCAGAAAAACTGGCCGAGTGCCAAGAAACAATCATGTATCTCCGGAAGCAATTGAAGGCATTGGCTTCACCTAGCGACGCAGCTCTCTTCGAGAAAGTCATAAATACCCCTGATGCTGACTCCGTTATTACCACCTCTTCAACTCCTCGGAAAATGTTTAGCCATCGATCTTCTTCCCTACTGGATAAATGCTTGCAGACGATAATAATAACAATCATCAACTATTTTGTGCTTCTCCCGTAACCAAGAAAGATATACAAAATGTAAATGGCGAAAAGTTCACTAAAGACGAAAGTAAAACAGGAGCTGCTGCTGCTTCTATGGATATTGTTGTCCCTTGTAAGAGAAATCGAGGCGGGAGTTTCTTCAAGAAGTTGTTTTGGCGGAGGAAGAAGGGTAAGAGCGGTAAGACATTGTCTTCGCAAGTTGTAATTTGACTTTTTACAATAATGTTTTGATCATAGAATTTGGTGATGATTCAATTATATATGATGTTCCTGTTTTTGCCTCGTATGTGAAATGGAGTTTTTATTTGCAGGATTTGTGTGTATCTTGGCTTGCTGTAAATGCAACAATGAACAAAAGAGAAAAAGTTCTATTTCTTTTTGATGTTCCATATTTCATTAAAGAAATATATTTGTCTGTTACAACAAAATTTTATAAAGTCAATGTAAATAGAAAGTTCATGACTTCATGTAATTAGAGGGTTATTTCTATGCTACACCCAGGGAAGGTTACACCGGGTGATTTTTTACCGTCGATCTACACACACAAATGTAGGTGTGTGTGTGTGTGTGTGTGTGTGTGTGTGTGTGTGTATATATGAATGGTAAAGATCTATCTGGTATATTTCACCCGGTGTAGCATAGTATAAGCCGTAATTAGAGTGAAAAATGTTTTTATGGGATTATATCTTATTTAATTATGTATAATTTATTTATTTATTATAGTTCTTTATTTTTTTTTAAATATTTATATTATTAGTTTGCTTGCTACTATTATGTTAGATTGACTAAATAGTAGAAGTTAATAAGATATTTCGTTAGTAAGAATCAACATTACTTAAGCACGCTACTAGAGTTGAAGTCCGAAGTATTACTACGTCGTGAAATTAGTTACACATCGTGTCTAATTTTGTAGGGGTGACTAAAATATAATATTATAATTTTATCCTTAAAACAATAAATTAATTTGTTTAATAAAAGACTTTATAGATACTTCATAGTTCATATATAATAATAGAATATAACAAATTTAATACTTACTGACAATCTAAAAGAACCAAACATATTATTAACTAATTAATTAGTTAATCAGTAGTAAATTAATCCAATCTAATTTAAGGGGTCTTAAGATATAAGTCATTGGTGACAAATCTTATTAGAACTAAATGACAAGTCTAACTAAAATTTGTTTCACATCCTTTATTAAATTCATTCCAAAAATGCCCCTCCACTCACAAATTCAAAATTACACTAAATTGTAAATATACAATGATGAACTATGGTATTATTTAACATTTTTAAGTTTGCATCTAGCACTTTTTTTAATTTTTACGTGAAACACGTTTTTTTTCCCCCGTATTTTATCATTATATAAAAATCTATTTTTTCCCCTTCTTTTCTACATAAAGTGAAAATTACGATTTTTTTTAATTTTTTCGGTCGTAGACATCTTCAGAAACCCATAGGAAACCGTAGTAATCCGTAATCATCCATAGACATCTTGAAACCTTAACTCCTCCTACAAACCCTAGCCGCCAGACCCATAGACACCCATAACATCCAAATCGATTTTTTTTAAATTTTTCCCACCAAACCCTAAATCCGCTCCTCCATCCACCACCATCCACCACCACCACGCCATCACCGAGCGCCGCCATCACACCACCATCCATGCTCAACACCGTCGCCGCGCCTTCCATCATAGATCTGACCTTAAACCACCATAGCTGCCGTCTCCTTGCCTCTACAACCATCCGCTTATTGCCGCCGTCTTCACCGCCATAACCACCGCTTCCTCAATAGTGGATTATATTGGACTGGTGGAGAAGGAATGAGGCAGAGAGAGATAGCGATATCGAAAAATAGAGAGATAAAGATTGTGAGAGAGAGCGAGAGAAATACACTGACAGACAGAGAGAGCGAGATTGAGAGACAGAAGAAAAAAGAAAAATAAATCTGAGAGAAACGATTGATAGAAAGAGAGCGAGATTGAGAGACAATAAATCTGAGAAAAACGTGACTTTAGAATTTATGAATTTAGGTTAATGGTAAATTAGAGATAAAAGAAAAATTGAGGATGTGACTCATATTTATTTTTCTAAAAAATGATTTAATTCATAAAAAAATATTAAAGTTGTATTCCTCAGCCAGTTATGTTTCCAACTAGGGACATTTAGCATATTAACCCCTAATTAATCGGGTCTAATGCGAGGCCTGTAACATGAAAATTGGGTATGCGAGTCTAGTGTTTATTTTGTTTTTACTATATTTTGGTTATTAATTAAAAAGTTAATAGTAATTTCGAAAATACAAATTACAATTTTTTTTTGATAAAGAATTTAGTTTCACACTAAATATAATTAAAAAAACCCTAACCCAAGAATTTTCCCCACCCCGCCATTCTCCCCTCTCCCACACTCCCTTCTTTTTCTCTCAAACACGGCCACCGCGAAACTTAACCGTGAATCGTTTCTCCGCCAGCCCCCTCGCCGGTATCTATTCTCCGACGGAAGTAAACCCTAGAACCATAGTACTTGATAACAGTAGAATAATTAAACACACACACACACACACACACACAGTGATGGCGTCGCCATACGGAATTCAACTCGCAGTCCATATAATCTCATCCTTCTACGGTGACCTATGCTCGGTAAATTCATCCTTGTAAATTGTATTATGAAAAAAAATGATTTTTTGACGATGATTATTGGAAAATTGTTCATCAGAAAGTTTATCCAAACCAAACAGACCTTACAATTTGTTAGTGTTTTTACGGTAATATTTGTTCGATTTTGTAGCTGTTTTCGGCGAGCCACCAAGGATGGTAACCCAATACATGGCTCTATTCGATAACGTAATACACAAGTTGAGGGCTCCTAAATTTTACGAAATTGTATCAGAGGAACTTGGCAAAGATGTGAGGAGTTTTTTTCCTTTCTCCTCTTTAAAAAAATTCATTTGTTATTTATTCATGTACTTAGATATTTGATGTTGAAGTTGATTGCCTGATCAATTAATTGGTTCGTTTTGTTTAGTGTCTAGTAATATTTCAGGGGTTAGTTCAACACGGCAGGCTTTCGGTTAACGATATGATTGCTGGTTATGCAGATATAGAAGGTATTATTAATGATTTGCTGTTTATTTTGCTTTATAGTGTGCTTCTGGTAAAATGCTTGTGGATAGTGGAGGAGCCGATTGTACTTGAGATTTAATTATGCAGTTCTTTTTACTTGTATACACATTCTTTTTAACTTTCACAAAATTTACATTTGAGATCTCTATTTCAAAACTCCAAATGCAGATATGAAATCTTGATACAACTAGCCAGGCATGTTTAAACAATTTTGATGGTAGATAAAATTATTTGTTTTTTGTTAAAAGATTTTTTTTTTCTTAATTAAATTAAGTTTAAGGATGAAAGTTGGACAATGTCTTATTTGAAGAATTATTTAAGATCACATTGTGATAGTTGCTATAACATCCTACTTGCCCCGTTGAGGGATATTAGTACCTTGCTATGAATCTGACAACTCTAGATCCAGTATTTTCTACTGTTTTTCTTTTCCTGTGCAGGTAGTTCTGAAAATGTTGGGCGAGAAAGCTTCACTAAACTTGTGAATGCCCGATTTGTTGAACACTGTCCAGCTCCGGACCCACATCTAGAACCACATGTTGTTGATGAAAAGGGAAAGAAGAAAAAGACAGGTAGTTTTTACCTTCTTATTGTACATTTCTATACGAGTATATAAATTTTTTCCACTTCTTTTTTTGCCCAATTGTTGATGCTTTTAACACTTGGAATCTATTTGTTTCGAGATGAAGTACTGAGAACTGAAAATCAGTTTTGCAAATCTTTTTTATTGGGAGCTTAGAGAAGAAAAAGGAACAGAATACTCAAAGAATTTACCTCATTTTCATGTATTTTATACAGTTTGTTTTCATTCACCACATATTTAACAGTAATGTGGATCGTGCCCTGCTAGTCTTTTTCGCAATGCAACATAGTATTAGGCGGCATATCTACGGGAAGTAACTCGTGTATTGGGTAAATCCTTCACTTATAAATCTGTTGGTCGAGCAGTAATATAGGACTTTTGAGAGGTAGCTCTGTTTCGACTTCTCCTATATTTATGGTAATAGCCAATAGGATCTTTGAGCAGTACTGGACCTTTATGAGGTAGCTTCACATATTTGTATTTTCTATAACTTTAATGCACTCTTTTGAACTTCTTGTTTGTGTCATTATCTTTCTATTCCCCCCAACTAACAGGTAGAAGAACCACCACTAGATCAACGTGTTTTGGCAGAAGCTGCTCCAATGGAGTCGATGAGATTCTTTCTCGAAATGGACGATCACTCTGAAGAGAAGGGTAATGAAACTACTACTAGCGTGAAAAGCGGGCAGAAGGTTGGGATGGTTGTTTTATGAAGTCTCCTTCAATACTATATTTGAGTTTGTTGATATTTTATTGTTTTGGATTAAATAGCGGAAGCAAGATGAAGGCGAATTGGATGCCGATAAAAAGAAAGAAGTTCTTTGGCGTGTCAATGTGGAAGAATTTTTGCGCCGCCTGCGGCATAAGGTTTGCTGTGATAAGTATTTACGTAATTACTTTGGTCAACCTCGTTTGTGATTGTAATTTTTTTGATTTATCGTATTTGATTATTTATTGACATACTTTATTTGATGTTTCTTTTTCTTGGGACCTGTTATAGGCTTGTATCGCACATGTCAAATCAAAGATTAACGAAGAAGCTGCCATTGTGCTGAGCGCAATGTTAGAGTTAAGTAAACAATCAGAGAGTGGACTGAAAGCTGAAAAATCTGGTATTGACTCTTTTTTTAATACCTAAATTCAATTTGAGGTCACATTTTATATATCTCCATTCACTGTATATAAGTTCTTTGAATTGAAGGGCGCGGTACATTGATTATGTAGTTTATGAGAAAAGTTAAGGATGCCTTGTCAATGATAAATTAAGTACAATAAAGATAGTCAATAGCCAAATAACTGAAGATAAGCAAAAATATTACTTTTGGAGATTCGTTTGTCAATGTCGAATTTAAAATCCTTTTTATGGCACTTTTCATCACTCATGTGACTTACGAAGTATTTTTTCTCAGAATATCTCTCCATAAATGCTATATACGACGAGGTGATAAAAAAAGAGGGTGGTCTTGGCATGGACTTCGAACGTGTCAGATCTTTGCTCGACCAGCTTGGTTGTGAAACACTCTCCTCAGGAATGGATGAAAGTTACTGCATCGGTACAAATTCTATTCATCCTAATATTTCAATTCAATGGTCAAATGTTATTTATTAATCCAAAATCCGAAAATTTGTTGTATGCATCGAGTGTCTAATCCGCACCTTTTTTCACCTTTCCCCGTCTACAGATATAAAGGAAATCATTGAATTATCTCAAAATGAAGAAGTTAGTAAATTTTCTTTAATTCTCAATTCTTTCCCCCCCACCCCGTTAAGAAGTTTATGCATGCAGCATCTTATGGTATTTGAATTTAGGTGGAGTCTTTGGTAATGAGAAGATATGGGCCGGAGGCCTACAGGATATACAGGTTACTGTCCAAAGCTGGTCGTCTTATGGAAACTGAAAAGGTAATCGAAACACTGTAATGATGTTGCGGAAGCATATTTGTTGCCGTACATGTTATATTTTGTATTAAATTATTTAAATATAAATAATAGCCACTTATTTCTGTTCGAATATTCCGGAATACGTTTAATTTCATAGAGCCAAAACATATAACTTTGAACAGTTATCATCTGGTGCCGATAACAACTTGTAATAAGAAATTTTGGCTTAGAAGTGAAATATTTACGGAAGGGCCTTTTTTTTTTTGTTTTTTGGGGAGAAACGAAGTTCGCATATTTAAGTTTTGTTATTTGCGGAGTCCCTGATACACCTTTGTGTATGTTATGAGTATATTTCGATTAACTTTATCTTTAAGTATGTGTGTGTGCACATTTGGGATCGGAGACTTCAATTTATTTATTCTCGTACAGATTTCAGACTGTACATTCGTTGAAAAGAAAGCTACAATCGCGATTCTGTACAAGCTTTGGAAAGATGACTTCTTGCAAATGGAGGTAAATAGAACCCGAACATCTATATTCGTTTGGGCTTTTAAGCACATATCGAAGTATTGGTTAGGAACTCATTTTCATTAAGCGAAAGAACTCGGATTTAAAAAATATATATATATTTATTGCAGCATGTGAAGACGTCTACAGCAAAACAGTCGGACTTTCGGCTATGGAAGATGAGAAATGCTATCGATTTTCCAAGAGAGGGATTCAAAATCAATAAAATGGTACACGTTAAGATTTGACAAGGAATGAGGGAAAGATCAAGCGAAAGAGGTAATTTTAAGAAAGTGTAGAAAATCAAATTTCGTGATACAATTTTCGAGTATGGTTTTGAATTTTTTTTTAAATAAGCCTTTTCATCTCGTTATTCGCCAGGTTGCCTAAAGACAAGCTCGTTGGGGAATCGAATACTAAATATGTTCGTTGGGCCAATGTCACGAGGATTTTGGAATCTTGCTTGATGGATTTAGACGACGCAATCATGTTATTTCATCATTTCTAAATACTATAATTATCATTATTATTATCCCATTTTTGAGATTACTTTTCTATTTTGTTATTGCACAAGTTTTGACTTAAGTAGAAGTTCGACTAACAATTAGTTTGTGTTTTATTGGAGCATTAGATAAAAAAAGTCATCGATCGTTTAAAATCGATGGTCCAATGATATTAATTTATCTATCATGTGTTAATACCAAGACTAAGCTCCCACAATTGTAAATACTTCTTTCAGTTAATCTTTCGAGTTATTCAATTTATGTTAATCCAATTAATTATTATTGACTTGGTGATGTTTCGTTATTGTGTTACATTCGCGAGTTGCTCATGTAAGTGTTTCCGGTAAAACTTGTTGTACTCGCTTCCACCGTGTTTAAACCAACGGGCAATGGGTATCAATCACGATAAAAAAAACCTGTACGAATTACTTCAAGAAATTATATTGTTGTTTCCAGCATGGGTGTAGTTCAATTGGTTTCGGGGTGATGAGTTGGTACAAGAAATTATATTGTTTGATTTTTTTTTTTTCCAAAATTGAAGAAAATTGGAACTTTAGTAATCTTTATAGGTTAATTTTTTTTTAAATATATTTATTTTTAAATATTTTCTTTTTCTTTTTTTTTTCCTCTTCCAGCACTAAATTTTCTCACCTTTTTTATATGACATGTTTTTTTAAATTATTTTGTTTTTCTTTTTCTTCCCCACTAAAACGATCAACTTTAAAAAAAATATATATATACCATTTCCAATGTAAAAGTGTATTCGGGCCATCGACTGATTATGACATCGTATTTGGAAAGTGTATCCTTTAAACGGTGATAGGTTTCATCGATGAAAGAAGTTGTCGAGTGCTGAGCTGGAAAGCTGGTTGTCTTTACCTGCAATCATATTATCGAATGAAATTATAAAAAAATAAAAAAAAATAGAAAAAAATAATAGTTGGTCATAGCTTGCAAAACTCGAGTAAAGAAAGACGTTTATCTTGGATCCAACGGGTTATATACACATGAAACAACTCCTTTGCATCAACCCCGCCTTTAATCGAACTGCAATGCAGTTAAAATTGACTTTAATTTTTTTTTTTAAATTAAAAAAATTAAATAAATAAAATAAAAGTACCAAATATTCCAGAAATCAAGATCCTTTTGAAAATCGGCTGTAGCGATGACGAGTTCGACTACGGGGGGTGTGGGCCCGGTGGAGGGCATGAACCGAGAAATGCCCTTAATCTGCTAGCGAGCTCCGTGCTGTATATCGAGCTCGAAAGGTTTGGTAGGTCTATAAAACTGCACCGAAAAAAAAAAAATTAATTTTTTTTTTAAATAATAAAATAAAATAAATATAACATAAGAGGAAAGAAAATTACCTAGGAAGAAGATCTTGCTTGTGGATTTCGATATCGGTCGAAATCTCGTTTCTAATATTCATACAAAGTGATTTCATTTTCTTATAAGCTGTAGAAAGTGCGACTGGATCCATTAATATGTTATGGTATTGTTTGAAACGAACTCGTCTGTTTCCGACAAGTGTCTTCTAGACCTCTTCTTTGTAGCATTCTGCAATTAAAAATATTTCCCAATTAATTAATTAATTAATTAAGAAAAAGATAATCGAGAGTGAAATAAATTACCTGAAAGTATCTGCATAATTTCGACTGTGCCTCGGGCAAAAGAATGTCGTGCAGAAGCTTGTAGAGTTTCAAAGCAGGTGTAAGAACAGGTGCTGCTAGGCCCGAAGCGGGCCCGAACACGTTTACCATACCCGAGGGTGACAATTCATCGAGGGATTTGTAGTTTTCGAAAACTAAGGTTGCTATTTGGTTGATTTCTTCGGACACTTCCCCTAATAATCGGACCTGATAATTGATGATTAAAAAAATTTAGGAGGTGTTTACAATCTACAATAATATTTCTCTTTATTTAAAAAACTAATTTCGAGAAAAAATTACGGAAAAATCGAAAATTGAAATTGAAAATTTTTGTTTGAAATCGGCGGAATTTGGAAATTTTGCTTTTTCAGTCACCTATAATATAAAATACATTATAAAAATATGAATATTATAAGTAGGAGTGAAAGTCGGATGGATCGGATCGGAATTAGCCTTTTCGGAAAATTTCGAAAAAAAAATCGGAAGTACAAAATCAATTCCAATTCCAATTCCAAAATTTTCGGAATCTAAAAATTCGTCCCGATTCCAAAAGGCCCGGAAATTTTGGAATTTCGGTAAAAATCGGAAATCACATTATAAGCTTTAAAATTTCAAAACTTAGCCGAAATTTTCTAAAATGTTCATATTGTTCAAAAATAACAACATCCACGCAGATAAAAGTAAAACTAGTAACTACTAAATTTCAGTTCAAAAAAATAAATAAAAATAAACACAGCATAATATCAAATAAAACTTCTAACAACAATTCATTATGTCAAAATCCTAAAACAAAACTTATAGGTATATTTTTCGGAAAAATAAGTATTATATAATATATATTATTCATAGGTGTATTTTTCGGAAAAAAAAATCGAAAATTTTCAGAATTAAATCGGATCGGAAATTGGAAATTTCAAATTTATTTAATATAGTTCCAATTCCAATCCAAAAAAATCGGGAACATTTCGGAAATCGGAACCGGCGGAAATTGGAAATTGCGTTCCAATTTGCACCCCTAATTATAAGTGTAGTTTCCGGAATAGATTTGAAAATTTAGAAAATTAAAATCGGAATCTAATACGTATTCTTTCCAATTCCATTACGAAAATAAAATCGGAATCTAATATGTACCTCCTGATGACTCAGCGTTTGCTTCGTTTTTCCCTTGATGACGACAGGTAGGAGCAACTCATGCACCAAATCGAGACAGTCCGCAGTCGGAGTTGCAACATCCATAACATACGAAAGATATCTGACGAGGAAACGAGAATTAAAACTTGAATTGAATTTTATTAAATTAGCACACATACGAATTCTCGTAAACGAAAACACCAACAACGCAATCGTACCTAAGCTTCGTGTAAGCATCCGAAACTCCGAAATAGGATGCGAATTCCGACACCAACCACTTCCAAGAACCATGAAGCAACAAGTTCCTCTGTTGAAACTGTTGCACTTTCATCGCGGTCTCCAAGACGCAGTCGTACGCAATAGTCTCCGCTACCGATGCGTACTTTTTTTTATTTTAACAGGTAAAAAACAAAATGTTATTAGCCGAGAGATAATTCCAAAATCGAAAGTGAAAATACTGTTTTTCGAACATCATAATACCCTTTTGTATAAAAGCTAAAGCATCCCAATTTCATTACAAAAAAGCTTATATGAGGAATCATTTAATATTTATATTTCCAACAATTTAAAAAAAAAAAAAAAAAGGAAAAAGGAAAAAAGCCCGAGTTCCAATAAAGGCGAAGGCTTATTTAAACACAAGTTTATTTCCGGTTAGCTTTCATACATACACCTAGATTCGATTTTCTTGATGCTCTTCTCTACTGCAGGTATATATTCTGCTCGACGATTAAGCTTATTCTTGTTTTTTTATGGAAGCTCGTTGTCACCTCTAATGTAATAAATAATCCCTAATTGTTACCAAAGTGTCTTCCGTTTAAATTTCACAACCTTGGTAACAATTAGAGAGTATTATTACATGAAAGGCGACAACGAGCTTCCATCGAAAAAAAGACTAAGCTTAACGGTTAAGAAGTGAGAGTCGTTGAAGAAGAATAAGGCCTCATTTGGTTGCCAAGATAAGATTAGCCAAGATAAAATTAAATAATCTAAGATCACATCTAAAACATGCCTAAAAGGCAAGATAACATAATATTTGCGGATCGGCTTGGAAAAATATTGGGGATACCAAACATCAAACAAAGTTCCATTAGTTAGTTAATCATGGCTAATCTCCCCAACCAAACGAGGCCTAATAATAATATACATGCAATAAAGAAGGTCATCAAGAAAATAAAAATCTTGATTAAGTATGAGAGGTGGGTCTTGCTACTTGGAATAGACTTTTGTTTCATTAAGCCTTCGAACAATTAAGCCTCTATTTTTATTTTTCTCGGTACTCTACTAGAACTGTTTTTTTCTTTCTTCGGTTTTTTTTTTTTTTTGTGCAATTTTTTTTCCTATTTAAAAATTAATGCATACCTTGTGACTGTTGTCATCTGGTGCAGTTGAGTAATTAATATGTAACTGTACTTTCCCAACTTGCTCGTGCTCCGGTTCGTGATATATAAAACACGAACGAAGCTTCTCCCCCTGCATTAAAATCACAATAAATAAATAAATAATAATAATAAAAAAAATTACAATTTCAGATGATAAGTAAAAATACCGATTCATCAGCAATATCAGCCACTTGAAGTACAGCATGGCCACAATACTTTCCCTTCGAATCGTGTATCTCAATCACTAGATCATCGCCCAATCCATCTGGCAAGCTGTATATTAACAAAAATATTTATCCATATATTTAATATTGAAAAAGCAAAAATTAAAAAGTAGAAATAAAAAAAAACATACAATACACGATTTTCGCCAGATCCTGGCTGCATTCTCAATGCATCCTCTTCGGGAGAACTTTTCAATCTCAACAAGCAGTAATACGATTCTGTAACGAAAATAAAAATAAATAAAAAATTAAATAATGTCCCATTCAGCAAAAAATCAAAAACGAAAAAAATGAAAAATTACATCTTTTCCGAGTTGTACGAAGACAGAGAAGCAAAACACAAGGATTCCAAAGTAAGAGAA